ACAAAATACAATTAACGTACATATATGTATAAAGTTTTTAAAAAAATCTTATTTTTAAAAATTATATATATAAAATTTATGAATATAAAATAAGAAATAATTATAAGATATTTACAGTTATTTTATCACATAAAAAATATTAATTGTTCTATTTCGATACTTTTTGGTTTAAATAGCTCTCTTCTCATGTCCGTTCTAAATCTTCCATTAAAGAAGTAAGAAACGTGTTACCATTGATTAATCTCGTAGTTGCCACGACAAACTCGACATTTACTGAAAAAAATTATATTACATTTATTATATACGTTATATTATATACGTTTATTTATTTATATAAATAAGTAAATTACGATACTCACACTCTTCCTGTTGCGATAGAAACCGAAGAGCAGATATCTCGGCAAAAGTGCATCCTCCAATGAAAAATACTAGAATTAGTTTCGGTGGTTCCGAACTGGAGTCTTCGCTAGTAATAGAATTTCCTGAAATAAATATTTTTTTTAAGGAATAGATATATTAAAAATAAACTACAAATAAATCAAGATTTAGACTCGACTTACGTCTCGTTGACAAAAGTACGCTATATGGAATGCTGCTTACAGTAGGACCTGGCAATAATCCTATCATGTCGTTCAATCCTTGCCATCCGTTTGGTTGTACCAGTTGCTCCGCCAATCTCACGCTCAGTGGTGCATATATGGAATGTACGTAACTAATATCTTTCGGTGTTACTTCACTCTCGTCCTCGACGGTGAGCCTTAATGCTTTCCTTAATACTGCATATTGTCGTACTGACTGCTGCTGTTTCAATAAACCAGCCTTTTCCAAATTTAATATAGTTGGTAAATATTGGTATCCGTAAGTATGAATTATTTCTCTTTTATAGTAATCTAATAGTTTTGGTTTTAAACCAGAGTTTGTTAACGATTGTATACAAAGAAGACGTAAAATTTTCAATAAAGGTTGTTGCTGCGCTATCATATCTTCGATATATGCATTCGGTTTGTCTGTGTCGATACAATTTAACAATTCTTGTTCGACTTGCAATGATTCTAGAAAGCTGCTCGAGTCGGTGACTTCTTTTATCATCTCAGCGATTGTGGTATCTAAATAAAGAATAATTACAACAAATTATTAAAACAAAAATAATATAAAATCAGAAAACATTAAATTCAAACACATGTTTTCATTACTTACGCCTTGCTAAAGATTGTTTTGTTGCTAGCATGTGTGGTAATCGTGCAACAAACTGCTTAATTTCTTGCACACTCTTATCTCCGTGTCTCTCGTCAAATTGAGACGAAATCACTTTAGCTTTTTTACTAAGAACTGGCCCAACGCCATTAAAATTTTTATCTCTGTAAAAATATAATATGAAGAATTGTTAGAGAAATTTGTGTATAATTACACATATACCTAATCTCAGCAAAAAGTTCTTCTCCTGAATTTAATATAATTTGTTCCTTTTCATTCAGAGACATTGCTGTGGGAGAGTCATCAGAGTCGTGAAACTTTCTTGCAGGTAATTGCACAGTATCTATAATGGAAGATATTTCTGTTACTGTTCCTTGTACAAATTATGTTCAAATTGAAGGGATGTTAAAAATTAATAAATAATTCTGAAATATAGAAAATATACAAAATCAATACTTTACTGTATTTTATTCCATATATTTCATCAATTAAACCTTCGTAAGTCAATTGTGTGACTAAAGGTGACAGTAAATCTACAGATCGATCCAATAATAATAAATGTTCAATGGCTATAGATGATGCAGGGTGTGATTTATTATCTTCCTCTTCTCTATTTAATCTCTCCAGTAATTCCCAAACTTTACTGGCAGCTGGTCCTCTTCCTGTGACTTTCGAGATTTTACCATATAACTTTTGCAAGCCTTGTATGGCTTGTGCAACTTGATAGAGACAAGTGGGATCATTTTCCAAATGGAATTCTTTAAAGGATCCACTGAGTTCCATTGAGAGCAGATCATTATCAAATGGAAAGAGATCACACTTAAATTCTTCAATCAGTGTAAAACTGCCAAAGACACCGCGATTCTGGAGCTTCTTTTGACAAAGTAGACTCTTGCGTGGTACAAAGAACAAATGAAATTCTTTACGTGGTCTCTTACCCTCTTCTCTGCAAACATATAAACTTATAAACAAATATATACTATTTTTTAATATATATCAATTTTATTCAAATTATAATAAGATCTAGACACAACACGTTATCACATTATATATTAAGACCAATACACAAATTTGACAGTCTATCTGCAAACATATTTTTACTCCTTCCAATTGCAAACTGAATTTTTTTTGTTCAACTCAATTTTTTTTTACTGCTCCAGACTTTCAAGAAATGTAGAAAAATTCAGGATTGCTTTTCAATATCTCTATTATATCACCAAAATTATTTTTTAACACAAATGCTAAAATCTTTATTTAATAAAACAGGAAAAGAAGGCCGAAAGAGTGAAATTTTGCTTGCATCTAGATAGCAGATAAAGGATAAAGATCCCTTTGTTAATATCACCGAATAGATATGTTGTATTCTATCTGATAATGTTTGCTATATACCAACCCATGAACATTCTCTGCAATCAGGTCCATAAGCTCCAACTGTGGCCTCGAGATAAATATGACATTAGCAATGTTAGGTGGTATTGTTAAAGTCCCACCGTACAGCGGATACATTTTCACAACACCGTACTCTTCTAGTAAATTATACTTGGCAACCAGACCAATCGGTCCGGCCAACGACTGATCCCATATAATAGCCTGCGAAAAAAAAAAGGAAAAATATATCGTAAAAACGAATTTGTAATTTGTTTTGATATGTTCAGAGAAGGTTAAGTAAGAATACCTTTGGGCCATCGCATTTTTCCAACAGACAAAGCAATCGGTTTCTCGCCTGTTCCTGAATAAGTCCGACGTTCAATCTACCTCCTGCCAGATACGACATGATTGCTTCGCAAAATTTTACGTATTGATTGTATATGTTAACATATCCAAGATTACTTTGACAGTTGCAGACGACGGAGTTTTAATAAAACCAGTAAAGCTTTAAGAGTAAACTGGAGTAGGAGACGGAGCTAAAGCTAGCGCCTCTATATGTATAAAATGTAGACATGAACTACGTAGTCAAATCTGTGAATATTTCTGATGGGTAACATAATCTTTTTTGTTCCATTAGGTTTTATTCCGTGATATTTCCACGCGTTTAATAATTTTTTTACTAGATAATTACATTTTTTATTAGATAACTTAGATAGCACAAAGAATTAAAAAAAATTCAGTGATATGTCATCAATTCTGAAGAATTCATTTTCAGATGCAAAAAGAATTCTTTTTTTGAAATTACTATTTGGGAAAATATGCAATAGGATATATTATTAGATATGAGAGCATTATCATATTTTACTAGGAAGAAAACATACGAGAACGGATTGGATTGGATAAATCCATATAAATCAAGTTTTCGAATCTGCATTATCCGCAAGAAAAAAATATTAAATTCTGTAGAGATTGAATACACTGAATTCGTTTCTATACACAATTTTTTCTGTGTAAAATTTTCCGCTCTTTAATTTTTCTCTCTTATATTTTCTAGGTAAAATTGATATTTATCGAGATATTTGCAAAAAACCGAAACTCTTGTTTGGTTTTGGACTCTGTTTAATTATTTTTCTTAGCGGCCATTGTACAGTGGTAAACTTTTTCTTCTTCAATCTTATGCAAAAATAAAGGTCAGTGTAAAAATTCATCTGATGATAATTTTTCGAACATCCCGCTCAATTTTTGTCTAAATTAACTGTACTATGCACAGAAAATACAACATTATGGATTCACAAGAACAGAATGACTCTAGGATATAACCTGCACTGTCGTGGCCTCAGTTATGTCTAAAAATTAATCGCATGTTCATTGAGTTGAATATTGAGATACCAAATGTAAATTATTAATACGTAATTACGGATTCAACCGGATTTTTTTTTTTTTTTGGTTGCATGTTTTATTATATACATTGGATGAGATATAGAAATTAAATAATCAATTCACAATTATTGATTCAAGCGGATTACGGATAGAAAAGAATTTAAAAAATTCAAAAACTTGATTTGACATCACTTCAATGAATAATTTTCAATATTTTTCAATATTTTTCAATAATTTCTCGTTTGCTGGGATGAATTATAATATGTTTGTGAATCTCAACAATAATAATTTACAGTTCTATTATATACAGAGATGTTTAATAACTACGTTTTTCATTAAATAAAGTATTTCCACAAATTAATATTTATATTACAAATGCTAATAGGCTTTCTGGCTGATATTCGATTCTTATATTTGTCTTAATTACAGTTTTAAGATGTCATAAGTTAATCAAAGGACTGCATTGACTTTTTAAGACGGTCTTAAAATAAAAACAAAAACTATGAGCATCGCCCTTTAATTGGTATGTGATATCTTAAATTTGTATTTAAGACGATCTTAAATATGTGTTCTATGAATACCGGCATAAAGGTACATGAGCCGAATAAAGTTCATCTAATTTATTTTATTTTTAAAAAATTCCATTACACAGTAATGGACCAATCGGAGCGTAGCATTTGGAGCGTAACGTTCAAAGCATTTGGAAGAAGCAAGTGGACCGCAGCCTAAATCGACGTCGATTTCATTGTCATTTGTCACTGGGCGTACTCGAAACATGGAAAATGTGTTTAAATCTCGTACTGCTGTGGCGCGTTGCGCATTGCGCAATTAACTTCACGGGATTCGCGCACGGTGCACTGCGCGAGAGACGTATCCCCCCTTTCTATGTTAATTGCATTCAATTAGCACGCATTGGCACGCATCGGACGCAGGATAATAGTGAGGTCTTTCTCTTTATTGGCTCTCGCCTCCAAAAAAAAATAATAGGAGGACGATACGATAAAAATGGTGGGGTGGGCTCCGATTAATAAGCGATATTCAATGAGAGCTCTGCTTTGTAACCTCAACGTTCAAAAAAGCAGAGCTTTCATTGGTTATCGTCTATCGCTTATCGCGTTCAGTGTGCAACAGGCATTACCCTGAATTTAGCCGAATTCAATTTCTGGCGCGAAAGAAATTCATTTGTTTTAAGTCACAACTTTTGCAAAGCGATAAGATTTTACAATTGGAAAGCATTCAAGGATGAGTAAGGATCAAACCAAGGTAAGTTAAGCAGTAGCTAGGTAAGTTAAGCCGTATCGAATTTATGTATATAAAATTAATAACTTAATATTAATATTTTTTAAATTAATATTTTTGTCGTGTCCCGTCCGTTTCTCATGACGATACAAAATTGTGAGGTTATAGTTGTATGCCAATGTTGCTTGCGTCTTGCGAATTGCATGCTTCAATCCTTTACGTAGATAGAAATTATGTTATAATGTAAATATACATGTATGTTTATGACTGATGAGCGATATCCAATGAGAGCTCTATTTTGCAACATGAGAAAAAGCAGAACTTTAAACGTAATTAATAAATTCAGTGTTTATGATGCCAAGAGCGAAACGCAAAAGCTCGGCAAAAGCCGAACCGCCGCGTCACTTTTGGCGAACAAAGTTAACTGTATATGAAAAAAGAAACCCCTTAATTACAGTTATGTTTTATTTACAGATTGTGGAGAACATGGGACAAATCGGCTTCGAGATGAGTGGCAGCGCAATGTCAAATAGTAAGTGAAACACTTTAATATTTAATTATTGTGTTACTAATAGATTCGATATTTGCGACACCAAGAAAAGGGGGAAGGGGGGCGTCGTTGCGATGCTCTTGGTGCACGAAGGCGACCTCACAAGAGACAAAGCCTTATGTTTGTTATTTTAATTATATTTACGTTTAATTTGCAGATTGTGACGGACACAGAACAGATCGGCTCCGAAATGAAAAACGTCATAAATACTTTAATTGGTAAGCGAAATCTAATCTTGCACTTTATTATTTGCAATATTTATTTATCACGTAATGTAGATTTGGTGCACGAATATTGATAATCCTTTTAAAAGCGAACTTCGTAAAATTTGATTGTTAAAGATTTGTAGTGTTAATAATTGGAGAACTCTCCCTTAGATGCATTTAATTATGTTCGTTTTATTTGTAAAATATCATGAGTTTTGTATGTTCGTAATTTCATTCATGTATGCACGATATGACAAAAAAGCACGATTATTGTGTTCTAATAATTAGATGTAACTACGCTTAATTGCAATTATTATTTCTTTGTTTTAGCGAAAATGTTACAAGAGTGTCATGAAATATAATAAGAAAGAACAAAACAGGAAAAAGTCAGCGGAGTAAGAAATGACGACAGACCACGAGGTGAGTATTTCGTAATTTATTTTACTCTTTGTTATAATACTTTGTTTGCAATTGTTTGTATAGTAATATATTGAAATCATAATATAACATGTTGCAGTTAATACATTCTATAGTAAATAAAAGTTTTAAATTATAAATTAAAATTAACAAACTTAAAAGAGAGTTGTTAAAAAATTAACAACTCAAACGAAAAATTCATAATACATTTGAATAAGCTAAATGAGCTAAGCACGTTAAACGGTGTAAAAGAATATATTGTTGTAAAAATTTTTTCCATACGTTTCGATTCACAACGGAATCATCTTTAGTGGATACATAACTTACATTACATACATCTGTTCTAATCTTCTTTCGTATATTACACGTCGCTAGATAACATAAAAAACATGTCGCAATCAATTCATCTCAGCACGCATTTGGAGTTGAAATTTCCATCAACTCAAGTGAACCTTCTTATGTTATTATGGAGATATTTGTTGTAAGTTTATGTTACATGTCGCAATTAATTAACTTCAGAACGCATCCGGAGTCGTAATTTCCATCAAACCAAGAAAATATTCTTATGCCATTATAGTGGTATTGGTTGTAAGTTTACGGACAAGAAGAAATTAACACAATGTGAAAGATTAACATTTATTATTTTTAATATCTTTGACATTCGAGAATCGACGGGCAAAACAGGAAGAACGCTTACATGTCAATAGATCGCTCGCCACGATCGTAATGACATAAGAGAACGGAAAAGACGAGACAATACATAGTAACAAATTCACAGAAGGGGTGAACCAATTAGAATGGAAAACCAAAAACTGTCACCTATTAGCTAATACATTTATAATAGGCAAATACGCTTCTGAAAAAAATAGGGTATCGTGTTGTTTGTTCAATCCGTTTTTTTTGTTTAATTATATGGATCATCTTAAAGATTAGTCTCTTTTGTTGTATTGTTTTTCATTATCCAAATTTGAACCTTTCTAGTCAAAATTATGATTATTATTAAATTATCTTTAAATTATAGTTTAAAATTTTTTAAATACATAGTTAAATAGCATAATCAATATTAACAAATATATATAAAACATTTAAAAATAATTTAAATTTATAATGATTAAAGGTTATATAAAAATGAAGTTATTGCTTTATTAAATTTTATACAATTTTTTTTATCCGCGAAAGCAGTTTTATTATGACAATATTATTTTGTTAATTTATCAAAGTTCGAATAATGGTACTTGCGTGTAAAAATTATATCTTTTGATATATTTATTAATAAATATTTATTAAATAACAGCGGTGTAAATATTTATTAATAAATATATCTTCTTCTTTATATACCCTTCCCGGTTCCTCGGACGTTGCCGATCACTCGCTAGTTATAGTATCTACATCCATATGAAAGAGTCCCTCCACGCTCCGCACTCCAGTCCATGCTTTAATGTTTCTCAGCCATGAGAGCTTCTTCTTTCTAGTCCCACGCCGGTCCTCGATCCTTCCCTTCAATATTAGCTGTAGGAGGCGGTATTTTTCTCTTCTCAAAACATGATCGAGATACTCGATTTTTCTGCATTTGACCGTTGTCAACAACTTTCGTTATGTACCCGTTCTCCTCAAGACCTCAGCGTTTGTAACCCTATCAATCCAGGAAATTCGGAGCATTCGTCTTAAGATCCACATTTCAAAGACCTCCAAACGGTT